AAATTTCTTAATTTATCCTTGATTTGGGTCTGTACTCAGGTTCCCAATCAAGGTCACACAGTAAGTCAACATATTGGATTAATCTCTATGAGATTTATCCGGATCATGATATTGGATATCAAAACATATTTTATTTTGGCCCAAGGCCCAACAACAATTTATTTTTAATCAAAACAAATTTGATTAATTAATTAATAATTCATTAATAATTCTAGGGTATGTTTTGGGGCGTTACAATACATCTACTCGTATTATTCCTAATATCCTGTGCAAGCTGATCATCGGTAACAGGGAACAACTTGGAGCACATGTACTCGAATTGAGCCGGCGGAAGTAATTTTGTGGGGATAGTCTCTAGAAGTAGAGAACTAGATCTTTGTTGCATGACAAACAGACTTGAGAATACGTTTGTTGAGTTTTTTATGATGAGAGTGTTGGCGAGTCGAGCGAGGGCAAGGAGTTTCTTTTTCTCTCCTTTGGGGCCGTTCTCTGCTTCTATATCGCTTTCGATGCTCTCCATCTCTAGAAAAAATATAGACAAATGCAATTTTTCTGATTTTTTATCAGACACATAAACTTTTTTTAGAAGAGAGAGAGAGAATCATTTTTTCTCGAGATGATGAGAGGGATAATGGACGGCGACTGTTAGACATGCTCCTCGAGATTGGTCGGTGATGTCATGCTGTCGGATGATCGACCGTCGTAAATAGAGATCGACGATGTGTTCGATCTTAATGAAGAGTCTAAGTTTTAGAGAACCTTAGTTCTGATACCATGATATAAATTGATAACAATTGGTTTTCGAATAATGAAGGATACAACCCTATATATAGGGATTACATGAGAGAGGTATAGTCATACTAAAAGAACAACTATGGTAATAATATAAGAAGGAAGTAATATAATAAGGAAAGCAATAAAGAGCAATATTCTATTTCCTAATACATCTATTATTCTTAATAGGGTCTACCCTTATTTCGGATCTGTTGGGAATTAAACACACAACACACACAATTAATTTGCGAGAAACGGGAGAAACGGAACACGGATGACACACAAGAATTTAATGTGGTTCGGTTTCATTTCCCTAGTCCATGGCTGTAACAGGAAGATTTCTATTTCACTTGTCGTGTATCACCGGAATTACAAGTACAAGAGCTCAGTATATAGGAGAAAAAACCTAGGGTTACATAACACCAGTCAGGCCAACAAGTCAAGCCCAAGCATCCACAAACCCAACATTCTCCCACTTAGAGGCTTGATAGTCATCTACTGCCATCCGCCACGTTTGCCTATACATTGAGTAATCTTCATCAGCTCTCCTCTTGCAGCGGCTCTATCATCAGACAACTGATAGGCCCGTTGAAGCTCTCCCAAGCTCCAATCACATCAGTCACGGCTAAATCTGCCCCCGACTCGTCCTCGGTTCCTACCGGCTCCCACTGCAGACGCACACTGCTGGATCCTGGAACATCTTGAGAACAAACACTCTCCATACTCAACAAGAAATTTTCTAGAGATGTTCCAACATCTGGAATATTAGTTCTCCTGACCCACTGTCTTCTAGTAAACTTGGCTGAAGAGCCTCTTGAGCTCCCACCGTCATAAATACCTTTGGCTGGCCTCCTTGAACCTTTCCTCGCTCGTTCATCCTTTGCCTGACCTGTGGCTCTAGGTTTCTCTCTTGCATAGACAACCTTATTCTGCCCACGAGACTCTATGAACCGGACTTTATTTCTTTTCTGAACAGGGACAGTCACTCCCTCAGATAGTAACTCGACCATATACAGCGAACCTCTCTTCTTTCTGTGGGCCATGACAAAATTTCCCTTCACGACCTTTCACTGCCCATCTCTGAACTTCACCTCGTGTCCCTATTCGCCCAACTCCCTGACAGAAATCAAAATTTTCTTTAAGGCTGGAACCACTCTGACATCCTTCAAAGTCTAGAAACCGACTGAAGTCTTCAAGACCATATCACCCATGCCCGTCACCTCAAGAGCTTTATCGTCTGCAAGTCGTACCTTACGAAAGTCTCCAATAACCAGATTCTGCAATGCTTCACTGTTGTGGGTAGCATGAAATGAAGCACCATAATCCATGACCCAAGAATCCACGCTGCTCTCCACACATCCAGTCAGAAGGACCTCTTCATCACCCGCGGAGCCTTCACAATGTTCACTTTCTTATCCTTTGGGCATTGAATCTTAAAATGCCCCACCTCCATGCACTTCCAGCACGTTACACCTAAGCTATCCCGAGTCTTGGACTGACTCCTTTGTCTTTTCCTGCTCCCACTACCTCTTGTATTTCTTCTGCCAAGAACGAGATCTCGAATCTGATCGAAGGTGAATCCTTCAGGTCCCACTGAACCGGTAACTGCTGTAACCGTTCCAGACCAACTATTACGCAAAGACGATGGTAGTAGCAAAGCTTGAACTTCATCATCGAACTTCATCTCCACTAACGCAATTCTGGTTAAGATCGAATTTAGCTAATTGATATGCTTGGTAACTGAAGTGCCTTTTTTCATTTTTGTGTTTACCAAATCTCTAATAAAAAAAACTTTGTTCGCTGCAGATGGCTTCTCGTACATGTTAGACAACGCTTCTATATTTCTCTTCGTTGTCTTCTCCTTCAGAATGTTGAACGCAACATTCTTGGTCAACGAAAGACGGATCACGGACATAGCTTTCCGTTCCAAACCTGCCCAATCTGCATCCGACATCTTTTCTGGCTTGTCACCCAATACCACGTCCAAATCTTTCAGAACCAGCAAATCTTCAATTTGCATTATCCACCAACTGAAATCTGTACCATTGAACTTTTCAATTCAGAACTTCCCGTCTTCTGCCATCTCCAAAGACAAGAAAAGATACTCGGTACAACTAATTTCAGATCTTGGTAATTTCGTCAAAAAATCAGGCCCACCACACCTTGCACACAACCTTTTTTTCTTCGCGCCAACTTTTCTACACAAAGGTGGCCTTGCAGTGTGTGCTTGACCTGCGACGATTCTCTTCTCGATGGTCAATGGTGCGATTGGTAGACGACGGTGCACCAAATTTGAAGCGACAACGATGGCTCGCGGTTGGGTGGCGAAGGCTTCAACTGCCGCGCTACTTCTTGCAGCGACGATGACGCTGTGCGCGAGGTTAGACGGATCTCCAACAGCAACTTCGATGGCGGCGGTGGATTGCTCCCCCTTCGCTCCTATGCGTCTGTCCTGTGGATCGCAGCTCCCGCTACTACGCAAATAGCCTACACAGCGGCGTTCTTCAACGCAAAAGGATTTGGACGGTTGCGGCTGCACACGAACAAACCTGGAAAACCCTAGGCGACAATTTTCTCTGAATTTGTGCTATCGTGTTGAATAACCTCGCTCCGATACCACTGGTAGGGAATTAAGCACACAACACACACAAATAATATGCAAGAAACAAGAGAAACGGAACACAGACGACACACAAGAATTTAATGTGGTTTGGTTCCTCTAATCCACGGCTGCAATAGGAGGATTTATATTTCATTTGTCGTGTCTCACGGAATTACAAGTACAAGGGCTCAATATATAGGAGAAAAGAAACTAGGGTTACATAACACGAACCGGACCAACAAGTCAAGCCAAGCCTCCACAAACCCAACAGGATCACCTAGGTTTCAAGTCACTAGGCAATCGCCTCGCATTCCCTCTCAATCTCCTCCTCATTATGGAGGCTTTATAACAATGGTCTGAAACGTTGCCCGACCGTGTGCAGCATCTGTCGTGGATCATTAACAAGGCCAAGAGGGATAAAAGATGGTTCGGGGAGTGCCCAGTCCAGCCTTTCCATAATATTTTTCATCATTTTAGCGATGTTTTTCAAGGCCGCCTCCACCCCTTAATATGCATTAATATATAGCTGGATAATTAGTCATCAACCACCCACAATCTATGGGATTGATTATTCCCTATCCAACTCATCCAGGCACAGGCCCACTCTCTCATGTAACACTTCCTTCGGCCCACTTTATAGCAAATGCACTATTACTCATTGAGTCGATCTCTATATTAACCGAACCCGATATCCATCAGTTACAAAGTTTCTCGACCAACAGTAGTGGCACTCCTTACTTTTGCCAACTGCACAACACACACGGAGTCAAAATTCTTTATTTACTCATTGGCTCCCAATGAAAAACTCCCACCGTCTAGATGGTCCACATTTTTGGTTTGCGTTAAAAGTTTTCTTTAAAAAAAATAAGATTAAAATATAGTCTTTATATTTTAGTAAGTACTCCATAATTTATTTTTATCTACGATATAAAACTAATTTGTTGTCTCAACGTGAAATTATATATTCACATTTCACATTATTTTTTTTCTACTTCGTTTAATATGTTGGCTTCATTGTATTGTATGTTCTATTTTAGGATAAAAATATGAAAATCATATTTTAATTCTTTCTATATATTTTACTCTTATTTTAGTCTTTCGCTCATGTCATGATAAGATTGTTTGTTTTCCTTTTTCTTTTACAAATATTTAGGGATAATTTTACTATTATATCTTTATCCCTTCATCTCATCATGCTACTCAACACCATGTCACTTTTCTTTTTTGTCATACATTTCATCCCTTTTAGGGATGTGGATCCCTTCAAACCCCCTTTCTTTTCAATTTTTTATTTTTTTACATATATTTTAATTAAAATGACTTAAACTAAAAATATAAAGTAAATATTTCTCTAATATTAATTTTAAAAGTACGCATAAAAATATTAGAAGTTCATTTTAAAAAACTATTCATCATGGAGATTTAATTTAAAATTAGTTACTTTAGTATAAAATATTTAAAATGTATAATTAAATTAACATTACATTGATTTTACTTATTCTCATTTTTTAACATTGACTATACAATGACAAAAAAAATCTTAAATGTAAAAACAAAAACCAAAATTTAAAACTAAACAAAGAAACTAAGGGTGAAGAAGATGAAGAAGGAAGGAAAAAAGAAGAAAAGAGGAGGAATGGTAGCAAAAAAAGTAACTGACAAGATGAAAGTGGTGGTGAGCCCGCCCATCCACATCAGTGCTGAGTGGTTGGTGTTAATCTCCATCCCTGTGTTGACATGGTCATCTTCTTGGCCATCCCTGTTATACCATATCGCGTGATTTAATATCTTTCATTTCTATATGTTTTCTAATTTTCTTCAATTATAAATTGAGAATGATTTACTTACTTTTTTCCTATCAAGAAGATGATTATTATTATTGTTATTGGTTAATATGGTTGCAATCATTGTTCTTTTTGTAAGGATCTTCATAGCACTTAGATGGAGCCTCATAGAGGAGTCTAGAGTAAACCAATCACAGAGGATATAACGATGACAAGGCCCTTAGCAGAGGACGTAGCGTTGAGTAAGACCTTAGCCATTTACAAGGGTACTACTGTTCAAGACAAAATGTAGTAGCCCAACTCAGCGGGTGCCTCTACTAAGCCTATGCACTAGCACGAGAGGCGAAGAACTTGAGAAACACAACATTGTTTAGATTGTGTAAGAGGGCAGGCCTACTGTGACATCCCATAGAGGTAGCTTTGATAAATGTTAGACACGTGAGTCGCATAGCTAGCCATGTATATATGCTATCTTCTAGTCTATAGAACGGACACACTATCACTATCACATAACTAATATTTCTTAGATAAAAGTCTAAAAATCAATCTCTCATTCTTTCTCTGGATCGGAATTCTATAAAAATTTAATTCTTTATACACTACTAGAAGTGCAAAAAAGAATGAGTGCATATGTGTAGATGGAAAAAACTATGAAACCGAGGAATCCTCTCACTGAAAAAGTCCTCACAGTGCCCTTTCTTGAAAATTTTAAGATCCTGATAATTAAAAGATACGATGGAACAACTAATGCTTTAGAGAATTTCAACACGTATCTGACACTAATAAACATCATTACATTTTATAACAAGATCCTCTAGTAATTCTTCCATGCAACTCTAGACAACTTCGAGTTTGAGTGGTTTACCAACTTACATGATGGTAAGATCAATTCATTGGAGGATCTTGCTCGACACTTTCTTATGCATTTTTTCTTTTTTAGAGTGATCAAAAGAAGATGCTCCAGTATTTCCATTTGCTCTCTCGATCAAATAGAGGTTGAATGAGCACCAAAAGAAGTCTTTGGCCCGTTAGAAGTTAGAAATCACTAATGTCTATGGTGCAAATGATTAGATATGATTATGGTATAAATTTTGTACGAATTGTATCAGGACAAAGAAGAGCTTCAAACATCTTCTAGATCTAGAAAAGGAAAGCAAAGAAAGAGATGAAATCTTCAAGCGTTTTCAGACTTCAATAAAAGAGATGATGAGATATTATGGTTTACTATAATCTGGTTGAAAATTTTGAAAGGGGCACATCTCTATTTGTAGGAGAGAGATAAAAACCCTAGCTAACTCAGTGAGATTATGTGCCCTATAGGAGTAGTTCTAAGGTTATAGGTTGTCTTACGCGCATAACAAGTCAATAGCCCTGGCCGATCAACATTACATAGTAAGAAGGGATCAACGAGAGCGTCATCTTTACAACCGTGAACATTCTGAAAAATGCAAAAAAATGATAACCAAAACTATATTTCCACCCTCAGAGGATCTCACTGCTTTGACAAAACCTGATAGTTTGATCTTGGAGTTTGTTGAGGAGGGGGTTTGGTATATCGAGATACGTGGATCCCTAAAGTTTATGCAGCAGGAAATGGCCCCTACCACTGCTTTCATATCGACATGGGCTTTAATAGACCCGATCGCATAGGCTTAGGTATCCAATTCTCCAGCAAAAGCACGCTCGCAAAATTATGAGTTTGGGCTCAACAATTTAGGGTACGGGGCGGGCTCGAGTTTTTCGCTCAAGCACATGGCCCGGCTCGGCCCGAATGGATAATATTTATTATTAGTATAATTATAATAAAATAATGGTAATAATAACATTAATACTAATTATAATAAAAAGAACATACTATTTCAAATTATTATAAACACACATACATATTTCTATGGAGAAAAAGGAGAATTCTAAGTATATTTAATAAAATGAATATATTTTTACTATTTTGTATTATTTATTTGTATCACATATTTATAATGTTATTCAAATAAATAATACTTCGTAGTAACAATATCAAACAAAAAACATTTTATGTATTAGTCGTTCTTTGATATATTCCGTATTCATTATAATTTAATATCAAACATCTAATATATTAAAGCATTACTTTATTTAAAAAATTATTTAGAAATTGTTGTCATGCAAACTTGGCCAGTCTGAACCCCGTGGGTACCTAAGCGAGCACGGCTCAGACTTCAATTATAAGGCCCGCTATACTGGCCTGACTTGCCCTAGAAAAATTTTGTTGTGTAGCATCTCGATCTAGTCCGAAACTCAAACTGACCCACACTTTGATCAGGTCTAAGCTTGATATTGATGATTGTAATGTCTTAAACTTAGTGCGAATAACATGGGGTTAGACATGTTGAATGGATGGTTGGGTGGGTAATAAATAAGATGGGTAAGTAAGGGTAAAATTGGTATTTTCAATTCATTTAGGGGCTGTTTGGCAACTTCTGAATAGGTAAGTGCTGAACCAGTAAGAGGTCTGAACCATTAAGTGTTGAACCAGTAAGAGGTCTAAACCATTAATAGCTAGTATATTGCTTAACTATTCAAAGGCAAATGTCTGATCATTTCAGATAAGAGGTCTTAACCATTCAGATTCTGTATAATACTTAACCATTCAGAGGCAAATGTCTGAACCATTCAGACATCTGCTCATGAAATAAACAGTCTGAACCATTAAGTGCTGAACCATTCAGACGTCTGAACTATTAAGAGGTTGAAACAAACAGCCCCTTAGTTTCCAGGTATAGTTGAAAATTTTATTACAATTTGACATCTGTATCTATTTACACCTAAAATATTCGCATCCGTTCAAAAGGTTATTATTCGTATCCAATTTAGGACATTCGATTGGTAAATGAATACATATTTGGTTATCATACATCTAATCCGTTTAAAATGCACTCCACATATACATCCATTTGGGTACCATTTATTCATGTATCTGATCCATTATATACATTTTTTCTAGTTTTTCCTTTTTTATATTTTTTTATTTTAACATCTCAAAGAATATTTATATCTCTATATTTATATGTAAAAAAACTACTCCGTATTTTTGTAGACACCCATACAAATACATGTGTGTAGTACTTTCTCTGTTCCAAAAAGATGTTCTAATTTTGATTTTTATGAAATTTAAGAGAATATTTTTGTGTTGACTTTACAAAAATATTCTTGATGTGATGTTAGTAGGGGTAAAAAAGTGTGATGTGATAGTTAGGTTAAGAAAAAAAGGAAAAGAAAGGAGTTTTTGAGACAGAGAGAGTATGTAATTTATTTTACCATATGAAGTTTTCGTAGAACATTGTAGATTATAAAAAGATAAGAAAATTGTAATAAATTACAAATGAATGAATACATAAAAATATTTTTATTCTAATTTTGTCTGAGAGTATTTGTTTAGTCTTAACTTTTTGCAATCAAAATTATAAACTTTAACCATTAATTAGTTAAAACTAATTTTGGATATTAATACAAAAATAATTTTATTAGATATATATTATAAAATATTTTCAAAATATTATTTTATCTAATTATTACATCATGTAATTTTTATTTAGTTATAGGTCAAAAATCATTTTTACTTGACTAAGAAGTCAAAACTGAACAAATATTCTAGAACAGAAAGGATACTATATAATTCAATTTGAATTAAAAAAATTAGAAATGGATAATGATCAATAACCAATATATTAATATTCCAATTCTATAAGGGTCCGGTTGGGATACAGAATTGATAGAATTGGAATTGAATTGGAATTAAAATCCATGTGATTCAATTCCATAGAATTGAATCCACCAATTTCAATTCATTTTTTGCACTATCAATTTCAAATCCACATAATTTTTGTGCTACCAAACACCAAATTTGAAATTGAAGTCCTCAATTCCAATTCCATAGTTTGAATTTCGTGTACCAAACGGGGCCTAAGAGTAAGAATAAATATTAATAGAGTGCTTGGAAGTGCGATGTTTTTTAAGAATTTAATTTTTATTTTGACTCGAAGTAATTTTACTTTGTTTGGCATATCAAATTTAATTTTTCTTCACCACTATCTTGTATCTAAAACACCGTTTCAAAAAAATTTATAATAACTTTTTGATTTGTGGAAAACAATTTATACACGAATTAATAATCTTAGGGCTCTCAGTTTTTTTTTTATCAAGGGAAGCTCTCATATTTATTTCTCCTTAACGTTTCATAATACCATATACATCTCACCTTTAAGCTTGAAATGGATTCTTCTAACCTTTCATCCCTTCCGGAAGAACCCTTTGAGGGAATCCAGAATTACGATGCAACTGCAGCAGGCAACGAAGCCGCTTCCGCTTTCTCTTCCGTTCCTGCTCGCCCTCCCACTCAGTAAACTCTCTTTGGATGCTTGTTTTGTTATGTTTTTAATTTTGTTTTTTAATAAACAACACATGATCAATTGAATGATTGAATAAGCATGTGAGTTATCTATTGATTCTATTCAATTATTTGTTATTTTTCAAAATAAGTAGAATATTTGTGGGATACATTTGGACTTCCGATTGATTCTGGATCCATGACTTGTAGTTTGCTTATAAGTGCATCCTGCACTTTGCTGGTTCAGAATTTGGGCAAAACATTTAGGTCTTTTTTTTACTTGATCACTCTGTGGGACATAAGTGTGGATGATTCATGGAAGAAACTTAAAAGCTGACAGTCCCATAGCTTGTTAGTTACAGACTATTTCCTAAGAAAAGTATGAAATGAATAAGTATATATAGCTTACAGCCTTAAAGAAGGTGATGTTAGAGCAAGACACAAATACAAACACTTGAGATATAGGTGGACACTTGAGAAGGTGAGGTTATATTAACAGCACTCGTGGATCGCTCCTAGCCAGAAGGGTAATGTAGGTTTTGAGTCCCAACACTCTAAGGTCTTCTTGATTTATGCCCGATTTCATCCACTCTCTATTTTGATTAGATATGAGCCGATTTTGGATAGTCGAAGTAACCTGGAGAATTATTTCATTTACGCTGCAGCTTTCGTTCTCATAGATGATGCTATTATAATGCTTCCAAATTGTCCACATGATGATCCCAGGAATCACTTCTCTCAGCAAACCTTTTAGTTTTTTTGAGGTAGATGAGATCCATTATTCAATGGCAAATTGGTGAAGCCCAAGGCCATCCACGTTGTGTGGACCATTAGTAATGTTTCCAAAGTTTCTCCAAACTCTAGCACTCACCTCATAAGTAATTAGAGTATGTAGAGCTGAGTCATCCATATCTCTACACAAGCAGCACTGTGATGGAAGATTCAGGTTGAGCCTTCTAGATTTTCTGGGAATGGTATGGCATTGTTAAAGACTTTCCAAAGGATTAGTCTGATCTTAGGAATCTGGTACCTGCTCCAATTCCTCCAAATAAACTTGGCACTTAGGATTTTAGGTTTAGCCTCTCTACAGACATCATAGGCCCCCCTTAAGCTGAAATCATCACTCTCCTTTCCCTGATGGATATTAGTGTGAGAAAGACCAGTATCATGGACCCTGACAATTCTTTTCCAAGTTGAAATTGCATACCCTTTCAATATAGGAGTTTTCCTTGTTGTATGTTGTCTTCATGTAGTCAGCCCAAATACTATTGTTATTATTAGCAAAAGTATTCCAATTTCCACCACAGCTTTAGAAAATAAGCATTTTGTAGTTTGTCCAAGCCCACTTTCCTCCTTAGGCAGACAGATTTTTACCCATGAAAGCCAATGATATTTTGTCTTTGCCTTCTTGAAACGCCAAAATAGTTACTCATTCTTATATGAAGACTCCGTATGACAGATTTAGGAAGTTGGTGGGTTGCCATAACATGAAGTGTACCAAAATCTGTTAAGAAGGTTGTGGGAAACTGATTGATCATTTTTCATAGAAACTTATCAAGTTAGTACAATAAGGTTATTAATCCCATGGGAAGACTAATCCTAAATCTCTTATGACAGATTTAGGAAGTTGGTTGGTAGCCATAACATGCTTAATAAGGATTAGTCTTCCATGGGATTAATAACCTTACTGTACCAACTTGATAAGTATCTATCAGAAATGATCAATCAGTTTCCCACAATCTCCATTCTTAAGTTTTCCTCTGGTCATAGATGCTCCAAGGTGATTGAAAGGAAGGCAGCCATGGTTCATATGTAGCCCATCAGAGACTCTTTTAATGTAGGCTGGACTAGTTTTTTGTTATTATAAAATTTTCTCTTTGTTAGATTAACACCTTGTCGAGAGGCTTCCAAATAGGAGAAAAGATAAGTATTTAACTTGTCAATGAACCAACTAAACTAGAAGCTCAAGCTTTTGATTGTAAGCCCAAGAAAGGATTGTATATTCTAACACGTTCCCTCGTGTGCATGCTTGACTACTTTGAGCATTGCACGAGAAACTTTAATTTTTTGAATCCGGGTGGCACTGAGTTTCAAACCTGTAAGCTTTTAGTAAATAAGGCTCTGATAGCATGTTAAGGAACCAACTCAACCAAAAGCTCAAACTTGTGGTTGTAGGCTCAGGATAGGTTTTATATTCTAACAAAACCTTAGCAGGTTCCTAATATTACCATTGAGAGAAATAACCATATCATTCGCAAAAAAAGATGGCTAGGAAGTTTTTATACTGTTTTATATTTTTTGAAAGTTTTTATTGTTGATTTGATGTTCCGTCATAGCATACAAATGACAGTTTTATATAAAACGCACCTCATATTTTCACTTATTTATGCAGGCCGTCTTCTTCACAAAAATTTGAGCCTTTAGACTGGTCTGACTACTTTGACAGTGAGGATGATATACAAATCTCAGACTCTAATGATGTTAGTGATTATTTTTCGGTTTGAAATATTTTTCTCTTTTATATATTCTTTGTAATATATTATGTTGGTGATTTTAAAAAACTTGTTTCTGATCTAAAATTGAAGAATCATTCAATCATCTTTAGTTTTTTTTGGTGATTCAGGTCTTTCACGTTTACTTGGCAGGGATTGGAGGACCAGTTGTTTTCTGTTTACACGGTGGTGGTTATTCTGGGTATGTTGAAATTTATCTTTTTAGGAAAATTGTAAGCATATTATCCTAAAAAATCTTTCAATTTCATAGTTCAGTAATTTGCTGCATGTTTAGTTTGTTAAATTTCAGCTGTATAGAATTGAATAGCTTTCACTGAGCATACAGATAGACATCATCTTTAAGTGCTTTTCCTTCCCATAATTAATATAACGTTAATTCTCCCCTTCTTTAAATATATCATTCATGTTCTAGACTATCGTTTGCATTGGCTGCAAGACAAATGAAGGAGAAATGTACCGTAGTTGCCATGGACTTGAGGGGACATGGGAAGTCATTCACAGAGAATGAATTGGATTTGTCTATTGAGGTTTTTACTATTTAAATGTTCTGCTTTCTTTTGTTAGCATCGTTGCCCGTTGTGTGATTAATTTGTTTACAATGGTTACAGACCTTATGTAGTGATGTAGTGGCCGTATGTAGAAAGATGTATGGAGATTCTCCACCTGCAATTGTGCTGGTTGGCCACAGGTTGCACTAAGTTCATGAATTAGGAAGTATCTAGCTACTGCTGAACTAATATTCTTTTATAAACGCACTACAGCATGGGAGGTGCCGTTGCAGTTCATGTTGCTGCAAAGAAAGCACTATCTAGTTTGGCTGGGCTGGTTGTTGTGGATGTTGTTGAGGTCTAAAATCTCTTAGTCCTGAGCTAATGTTTTTTAATTGTTTTTAATTGTTGAGCTCCACAAGCATCTACTTTCCCAACATTTCAGGGTACAGCAATGGCCTCGTTGATTCATATGCAGAAGATCTTATCAAACAGAATGCAACATTTCTCCACCCTTAAAAAAGCGGCAAGTTATCTTGAATTATTTGTCCTTTTTAGATAAATTACATGTACAAATTTAACATGTGCATATTGTATAATTCAATTAAACAGAATTATGCACTGTGAATTAATTTAGTATGTTGTCATCTTTGTCTTTGATCTACATTAAGGATGATACTCATTTGAAATATGCATGTATATTTGTAGATTGAATGGAGTGTGAAAGGCGGCACTTTAAGAAATATCGACTCTGCACGTGTATCAATACCTAGCACATTGATATATGATGATTCAAAGAATTGGTGTGCATAAGGATTGCTTTTGTTCTGGCATTCTTTTTTCTTCTCTTTTCAATAGAACTCTTCTTCCATTTCCATTTAACTCTGTCACCTCTACTTCCACGCGATTTAATATGTTTTTAATGGATATGTTTGCTGTAGTTACACACATCGTGCAAGACTAGAAGAAACTGAACAATGCTGGAAGGGCTGGTACAACTTTTTATGCTAATCTCAAGTTTCATTTGAGTGAGGTCATCTGTGATATGCCGTTATGGCGTTAATTACACACCTAATTTTTTTTTATCATTTTTAGTTTTTTAATTCACTGCATTCATTTCTGGAGCTTTCTTTTTCTTTACTAGGACATTTAAGTAATTTATACACACGTACAAACCACTTTGATCTTGTAAATAACGGTATTGCGGATACATTTGGAATCTATCATCAACTACATTGCATTCAAAAATGTGTACGGGAGCTCTATTGTATTAATGTTTAAACCTCTATGTACCACAAATTCAATAGTATCATTTATTTATTTATTTCTTAAACTTTTCATTACTATAAGTACTACTGCAGCAATTATTAATTTTATTATTACTATTATTATGAAGTATTATCATTATTACAACTATATTTTGCTTTTGTTATTAGTATATTACTACTCCCTCCGTCTCAATATAGAGTTCATATTGAGGAGTCATACAACTTATTAAGAAAGTGAAAGTGTTCGATTTAAATTTTTTAAATGAAAATAAAATTGTCAACACAAATTATTTAGTTAAAAGAAAGTGAAGTTTATTTTGGGACAATACTAAAAAGAATATTGAAGTTTTATTCGATTGAAGGGGTATTAAAATGACTATTATTATTACTATTGTTATTATTATTATTATTATTATTATCATTATTATTGTTGTCATTTTCTTCATCATCATTTTCGTTATTATCATTTTGGTGTTGCATGAAATATAAATAATTTAAACATTTATGTACCGTTGTATTACCATTGGCCATTATTATGCTGACCATTATTTGAATAATTAAGGTTATGACATGCAAGATTAAGAAAATTAATCCTTCTGTTCATGTTTCATGGTTTTATCTAACACGAATTGTTTAGTATTATCTCTTGGTCATTTTGTTTACCCAAGAAATTTGTAATGAAGCTATATGTAGTTATACTTGCATTTCAGGTACGAAGGGCTCTCAGAATTGTTTTTGTCAAGTCCAGTACCCAAACTATTGCTTTTAGCTGGGACAGACAGGTTGGACAGGTCAGGTTTCTACTATGCATTTATTAGTGCTCATTCTTAAAAAACTTGTATGGAGACTTAGCCAAAGCAAAAAGAAAAGAAGAGTGTTTCTGGCAAGTGTTAAACTGTTTGCTTATTCTGTCATACTATGCAAACCTGTTGATGTTTGTGATCATGCACGCGAGACTAGAAGTTCAGCAGTTTGAACTTTGAAGTTTAATTTCAAAAGATTAAGGCGCACTATATTTGAAGCAATTTGTCTATGATTTCTTTAAAGATGGTACTAAGAGCCTGTTCTTTAGGACTTAAACTTTTAACTTCCAGTTCCTTCCAGTTTCTTCCAAGTATTCTCATTTTCTTCAAAGTCTTTCTACTCCCCAACCAATTACTCTAAAAACGATATATTTTTAATAATAATATTATTATTGTTATTATTACAACTATTATGTTCATGACTATAGTTTATAAATTATTTCATTTTTTTCATCTCACAATTTTTACGATTCACACTCATTATTATTTTTTCTTTAACTTTTTAATATGAATAAGACAATTTTTTTGTACATTAATCTCCATGATAAAATAGGAAAACATCAATATTTTAAACTATATTAAAAAATTATGGATAAAATAGTTACATAGAATGTTTTATTAATCTAAATTTATATAAGACCACTCACCTTTCCCTTTTATTACTCAATTTCTCTTTTTTATTTATATCAAAATTTAATTTTGTTTTTCATTTTTCTAATTTTTATAAAAAAATTGAAAGTCAAAAAAGATTAGAGAAAAATACTAAAGTAGGAGTAAAACATATAAAAAAGGTACAAAAATAAAAGTTCTATGTCTTTATTTTTAAAATAGGAGTTACAATGAAAATAAAATGTCAATCATGAAATAAAAAATAGGCTTGATTATATTATGTGACATGTCTGATATTAAAATGAAATATTGTAATATATAAAGTATAATTACAAATATATAATTTTATAATAAATACTGCATAAATAAATTGAGGTGCAACGTAACCACAATAACTTTTTAAACTTTAACATTTTACTCTTTATGCTAACTTTATATTCTAATTATTTATATATTTTTTGCAAAAGTAGTTTTTTTGTGTATGAAAAATACCAATACTTTTTTTATCGTAAAGGCATTCATTAAGATAACGTGATGATGCTAATAATAATAATAATTAATAACTACAAGAATTAGAATGGGAATAATATAAGATTACACAATTTTTTTTTAAATTTTTATAGGTTTTCCAATTTTTTCCAGTTCATTCCAGTTTCTTTCAACATTCAGCTCTTTTTTGTCAGTCCTAAAAAACATGCTTTAAGAGGCCTTTTAGAATCCGAGAATCGTATCTTAGAGTGACAGGGCATGATTTATCAATTTTGTGTTCTGTTAAAAAGCTTCAGAAGAACTGAAGTTGATAGATATCAGAGGATGAGCGAATACTCTTTTCATGCATATAGATTATATAAGTACATGTATGTACTTTAACTCTTTAAGATAGTAATATGCTAAGTTTTTAGGGAGATGCACCTTCGGCTACCCGTAGTTATGCCTCAGAACCTGATGTTGAATTGCATTTGTAAGGGAGAAAGTCCCACATAATAGGTACCAAATTACTCGACCACACTGCCAAACCATTTGAAAAATTGCAAGAGGAATAATCAAGAAAGTGTTTTCGAAGCACCCGTAGTTATGCCTCAGAACCTGATGTTGAATTGCATTTGTAAGGGAGAAAGTCCCACATAATAGGTACCAAATTACTCGACCACACTGCCAAACCATTTGAAAAATTGCAAGAGGAATAATCAAGAAAGTGTTTTCGAAGCACCGGTCATTTGTGGAGAAGGTCACAGGCGTCCAACCCCCTAAACTGTTCTCCTTTGGCTAGCCATGAGGACCTAATGGCCCGGTATGGGTGTAATGCAAAGGCTGAGTCGAACGCGGTTTGTGTTTACGAAATTATCAGAACTACCTGAGTTCAGGAGTGAAGTAATGGTGGTTGTTATAAAAAAATACGCTAACCGTGATCATATTACTACTCGTGACTTCCCATGGTAGCATGTATGCTGATTTTTGGTGAGTCGTCATTGAAGGTGGTTGGCATTTACCCTTTTCGAGTGTCCAGGTCATGAAAAGATGGCGGGCGGCATTTATGACCAGAGTATTTATTTTCATCGCGATTGTAGCATATATTCTTTGCAATGTGATCTGTCTTCTGTTCAGGAGAGAGAAATTTAACTATTTAAGACATGATTTCGCCGTGGTGGGAGGGGCCTGAATTGGAAAAGGGAGACAGGCCATCTTGATTGCTCGACATTGGTCAGGAGTCAAGGCCTTCAATGAAGAGGCCCACACGCTGGTTAAGTTGCACTATTCACTCTGAATGAGAACACAAAAATCACGGACAAAATCATCTATATGCCACCCACGTTAAAAGAGTTGCTTTAATTCTACCATGCTATTGAGGGTGCTTGGCATGTCAAAACTGAGGTGGCACTCCTCTTTAAAGGCAGTCCACAATGTGAACGAATCTGGTCGGTCTTTAAATAAAACCATAGCCTTGCTTCGCCTGCATGTGTTGGGCCTACATTTTTGGCCCACTCTGACTCGGGGATACGAGTGTTGTGGATGTAGGATTCATAATCCATCTTGTCGTATTTGATTAGGGAGTCATAGGGTTAGGTATAGACTGTTTGCTTGTTATGCTTCCCACTATGGGTCTGTGCTCCTGGAGAGAACTCTTCTTGCCACTGGAGAAAACCAGCTGAAGGAGAGAATAAAAAACAGAGCGACAAAAAAATAGAATCAAGCTTAATTAGTTATTCCATAATAATGTAAATAGGTTTAGGATGCCATCTTTTATAAAGGCTTACATGCCTAAAGCAATAAAGAAGCCGATAATACTCTTAACAATTAATTACTTGCCAAAAGAGTTCTATTGAACAATTAAATAAGGTAATTTATTTACTCCTCGGTGCTTGTCTTGTCTATCCGCAACTCCTGCTCACATCAAAGCTGGGAATACTGCTCTCATGTGAATCCATGGACTTTGTTTAGTTAGCATAACACTATTATTTTTAGGTATTTATCTATTCATTTATTTCTTTTATGTATTTATTTATTTTTTGTTAGTTTGCAAGATTTAACTCTGAATTAACCGCAACAGTCCAAAAATTATTGTGGAATAAGATTTTATAATAAGTGATGGAATCAAGCTTGATATCCGATAGACTCAAGTTTTATTCGGTATTCCGTAATAATGTAAATAGGTTTAGAAGTAGTAGTTATTGTATATCTTCTTGTCATGTCTTCAGGAACCGAAAATATCATGAATTGTTTGGACTAATGATAGGCATTACCCCTGTGTATATGTTTGCACTTTTACAGATCTCTTACAATTGGTCAAATGCAAGGAAAATTTCAAATGGTGGTTGTCCGACATACTGGCCATACTATACAGGTCCAAACACTTTTTTTTCTTATGGCGATTTCTCATCGCTGGGTATTCTGAAATTCAAGGTCTAACTTATACTGAACCCTGCAGGAAGACGCTCCTAATGAATTTGCTGACTTAATACTGAATTTTATTTCTCGCAATCGGATCAGCCGGTATGGAGTTGAGGTTAGTTTCTTGGAACATCTGTGTCAAAATATAATATGTATGTCCATTCTCCCATAGTACCATGCATCCTTAGAATCTGTATTAATTATTGCAATTAACCTATTGAGAAAAAAAGATGATTAAACAAGTTCGGCTAATGGTATTGGGAGGAAAACTAAAATAAGAGTAAAACACAGGAAAGAATCAAAATAGGACCTTCATGTTTTTATCCCAACATATAATATTAAAAAACACTGGAATGCTAATATACATTGCCGCATTGTCACAATACAACAGTTCTATTGTTTAGATAAAAACATGTCACTTTTATTTTGGGGATAAGCATTATGTTTTGTGCACATTTTGGGTGATTTCTTAACAAAATGTACCCATTTCCGTCTAACCTTTGCTTGAACAAGAGTGTTTCCTGTGTGTCAGCTTGCTGCCCCACTTTTTCCTTTGTCTTCATCACGCTTGTTTGTAAACATGATTTGTATCATGACCACATTACCATTTGTTTTTATTCTCACTATGGGGAAGGTTTTTCAATGGGTGGTATGTAGAAGAATATTGAGAGAGAAAGCGCACCATAATGGGTACCTTAGGCCCTGGCAGTGCATAAATAAGACTAGTAGTGTTGGGATTTTAAGCGCGTAAGACTCCGAAAAATACAAAGAACTAAAAAAAATAAACGGGCACACAAGAAGGGATTTTAATGAGAAAAATCATATTCACTATTTCAAAATAACATGCAAAAAACTCTTCATGTTTACATGCACTTATAAATAGATTTTTCCACACCCTAAGTCCGGCTATATTTTTTTTTGAATAACTAAGCACCAATTACTCTCTATGCTCACACAACTCCGGTAATATCATGATACAAAGTATTAAATTAATAGACGTTTCTCGACCCGTTTTTATGTTGTGCAGATACCTGGCATTGGCAGCTGGTCGAAACCAAAACCTTGAAACCGCGAAAAACCATTAACGATTAACCTAAAGGTAAGAGGGCACTGGTGTGTTACTGGGGGGCTTCTCTATGTGCACATTATTTTGTGTAGGATTACATTTCATGATATTAGGAATATCTCAAGTCTCCCCCACCTTTTTTGTAAATAGAGGACTTTTCCATTTCTGGCACTTTTAACAAATTCAACTGAGTCACTTTCATGGAGAAACAATGTGAATTATCAAATATTGGAGGATTAAGGTCCGTTTGGTACACGGAATTGAAATTAAAATTCTATGGAATTGAATTGGATGAATTGAGTTCTCCAATCCCAATTCATTTTTTTGCACTACCAATTCTAAATCCACATATTTTTGTGCTACAAAACAACAATGGAATTGAAATTTCCAATTTCAATTTCATGGCTTGAATTCTGTGTACCAAACGAAATTGTACGCTACTCAGTATCGTTTTTCTGGGTGTATTAATGTGATTTCTTTGTGGTATCAATTTTAGCCAAATAAGCTGGCCGAAGCTACGTGAATAAACTCATCAATGCTACTAACATTCTTCTGGTTCTAATTAGGATTTTTTTATTTCCTTGAATTTTTTTTCTTTCCATGGCGTTTTCTTTTCCAACCCTATTCCCCCAGCAAACCAAGTGCAAGTGTTCTAGCCTAACTGAGTAGTAGCCGTGAGCCCGTGACAAGCGCAATAGTTCTTCGATTATATGGTCGGTGTTTTTCCGTTTATAAGTTATTTTAACTTATGAGTCAGTTGATGACATGGTTTTTGTGTGATTATAAGTCGATAAAAGTGGATCTTACATACGGAGTGTTTATTTTTAAGTCGTTCTTTTCTTTTTTTCCAATATGGCTTAATTATTTACAAAACTATCCATCATCTTTTATGAATATCTACAAATAACTCATCTATCATTTAATCCATTTTACTTCCACGAAAAAATGTCTAATTTATATACATCATACGGAGTATAAGATAAAAATTGTTTATCGTTGTTATTGGTAATAACTCAATAAGTACCAAGACAGAAAAATATGTTCCCTTCGTTTTCAAAAACATTTCCTCTTTTGTTTTTTTCACTTCCAACAAAATATTCACTTTTTATTAAAAAACCACTTTTATTCTTACTTTTTCATACACTACCTATTATATCATATTTTTTTTCTAAGAATCTATCTATCACATCATGGGTAAAATTAGAAGTCAACTATAATTTAATACTTTTTAATTTTGGCTCCAAGTCAAAGTAGGAAGTTTTTTTTTTGCAAATGGAGGGAGTATGATTTAATTATAGAAAAGCTTGAAGTTAATTATTACTCTTTGTATGTCAAAAAATTTTTCCCCCTTTTTATGAATGACTAATTTTAAACCTGGTGAAGGATAACCCTCCATAAAGGGCCTTTAGAGTGGGCCCAGGCAGGAGGCCCAGGGGCAACTTTAGGTCTTCGCTTAGAAGACGACTCGGGTCTTTCACATTTTACCTAAATGACAATGTATGCAACAGTTAAACAAAGACTATTTACCAACTTATGGAAGCTCACAAGGACTATTTATGCATTTAGCTCCAAAAAAAATTCGAACAATTTAAAAAAACATTTTTTCCTACCGAAAGAAATTAAACACCAAACTTATCAACTGTCTATTGGCAACAACAATTTTATAATGCAATGTTTCTTACTCGTGTCCCAAATTAAATTGACTATTTACAAGATTAAACTTCATTCATTTTCTTTGTCTATTTTTGTAGATCTTTTGATGTAGTTTTTAAATATATAATTTTTATTTTTCAATTCTTCACTATTTTTCATATAAAATGGTTTTAAAATAACTTCAGTCAAATATCATAAATTAGAACAGAGACGGAAGGAGTACAATTCAGAAGGATTTGATTTATGGCAAAAACAATAAAGAAGTACGGAGTATTGTGCTTTGCATGAGATTCTTACATGTGTCGACAGAGGCCAAATTTTACCAATCCATAGTTCTAAAAATCAGATTAGACAGGCCGATTTGGACCAAAATTGGTGAATCAACGTTAGACCAGTCCAGTTGGGAACCTTTTACACCAGTTGAATGACGAAGTTGACTAGCACTAGGGACTTGACCTCTTCAGATGTTTTTGGAAACTTTAATGGAAGATAGGGATGAAGGGTCTCTTTGGTAATAATGTTAGATATTAGCTTTAGTGTTCTGGATACGATTTTAACAGTATAAACTGACTTTGAAAATGTCATCATTAAAGTTGCATGTAGATAGTCTTTTCAAAACATTAATGCTAATCTCTAACGTTATTTCTTAACATAACAACAACAACAACCCAGTTGAGTCCCACTACAGTAGGGTCTGGGAAGGGTGTGTGTACGCAGACCTTGCCCCTACTCGGAAGTAGGGAGGCTGTTTCCAAGAGACTGCCGGCTCAACCTGCACAAAAAATATGGTAGGGAACACAGTATAACACGGATAAAGCACCAAGAACAATGAAATGAAAGTCCTGCATGCAATAGCAAAAGATTCCAATCAAACACAACACACTACAAAAAACCTCTGCAGCATCGAGCTCCTATCCAGCTACTCTAATCCTAGTTCTCCAAAGGTTCCTATCTAAAGCCATATCCTCAGTCAGGGTGAGAAGTCCTAAATCCTGCCTAATCACCTCTTTCCAATTCTTCTTAGGTCTACCCCTTTCCCTACTTCCCCTGATAACCGTAATCCTCTCGCATCTCCGTACAGGGGCATCAAAATCCTGCCGTCTCACATGATCAAACCATCTCAACCTCGCTTCCCGCAACTTATCTTCCACCGGCGCCATGCCTATCTGACGTTGGATAACCTCGCTTCTAGTTTCTTCAAGTTCTTCCAGTTCCTTCCAGTTTTTTCCAGTTTCTTCCAACTTTTCTCATTTTCTTCAAATTCTTTCTACTCCTCAATCAATTACTCTAAAAATGATATATTTCAATGTGATTATTATTATTACTATTACTATTACTATTACTATTACTATTACTATTACTATTATTATTATTATTATTATTATTATTATTATTATTATTATTATTATTATTATTACAACTGTTATATTCATAACTATAGTTTATAAATTATTTTTGTCATCTCTCTATTTTTACGATTCACACTTATTATTTTTTTTCTTCAATTTTTAAATATGAATAAGACATTTTTTTGTATATTAATCTACATGATAAAATAAGAAAACATCAATATGTTAAATTATACTAAAAAATTATGGATAAAATAGTTACATTGAATTTTTTATTAATATAACTTTTTATAAGACATCTCAGTTTTCCCTTTATTACTTAAAAATTGCACATTTTTCTAATTTTTATAAAAAACAATTGTAAGTCAAAAGAGCTTAGAGAAAAAGACTAAAATATGTGTAAAACATAAAAAATGTAAACAAAAAGTTCTATGTCTTTATTCCAAAAATAGGAATTTAATGAAAATAAAATGTCAATCATGAAAGAAACAATAGGTTTGATTATGTGACATGTATGATATTTAAAACAAAATTTTTTAATATATAAATTATAATTACAAATATATTATTTATAATAAATACTGCATAAATAAATTGAGGTGCAATATAACTACACAGACTTTTTAAAATTTAATATTTTTATATATATGCTAACTTTATATTATAATTATTTTTTGTAAAAGTGATTTTTTGTATTTAAAAAATAACAATACTTTTTTTATATCTTAAAGACATTCACTAAGATAACGTGATGATGATGATTATGATGATGATGATGATGATGATGATGATGATGATGATGATGATGATGATGATGATGATAATAATAATAATAATAATTTATAACAACAAGAATTTAAAATAAATATTTTTAAAGTTTTTTAGGTTTTCCAATTTTTTGAAGTTTTTCCAGTTCCTTACAGTTTCTTCCAGTTTTTTCCAATTCCTTCCAGTTCTTCCAGTTTCTTCCAGTTTTTTCCAGTTTCTTCCAACATCCAACTCTTTTTTTACAATCCTAAAGAACATGCCATGAGTGTGTATAAAAAGAAACAAATGTTCACTTGTATATAATTTCATTTTCAAAATTTCAATTGTGTTCTTTTGTGGATTAGAAGTTGTGTTAGCAACAAAAAGAAAAATATTATACTCTATTCGTTTCAAAGTATGTCTTAATTTGACTTTTATGTCAAGTTTGACCATAAATTAAATATAATTTTAGATAAAAAGTAATTTACAAGAAATTAATATGTCAAAATTACATCCTAAAACAAACCCAAACATATAAAAATAACTTCATAATTAAATACTTCTTTTATAATTTATAGTCAAAGTTAGCAAAAACTTCAAACTAAGATAAATAATTTGGGATGAAGGGAGGGCATTTTATTATTTTAACAATGAAACAAGCATTATGCAATTTTTGAATGCACACACATTAACTTTAGAGTAAATTTCATAATTAGTCCCTAATTACAAGTGGCGTTTCATATTTAGTCATCAATTCTTAGATATTTTATGAATGATCCTCAATTTTTGAAAACTATTTTATAATCAGTCCTTCATGGATTATTTGTGGAAAAAATATGTTCTCATATCTGGCCTAAAAGAATATTTATGAAATAGTTTTCCAAATTTAGGAATCATTTATAGATTCTAAGAATTAAGGACTAAATATGAAAAATTTCTTGTAATTAGAGATCATTTATAGAATTCACTGGTAATTTTATAACATGCATGCTCCAAATATATGCAAAAAATTTATGCCGAGTATGTAATAAAATATACATATGCACGATGTGGAGTATAGAATCCCAATCCATTTATTTCGGGATTACGAAATAGCTCTGAATTTTCTACCACGCCAGAAAGAGTTCAAGGACTTGCTCTAATTTGATTGGAATAAATTCTAATTTAATCTGGTTTGAACAGATTGTAGCTATATTTAAAGCAATTTTTTATATGATCTAATTCCAATAAGAATAAATAACAAACACTACATAGTAAGAATATGTTGAAGAGAACAATGTTTTAGAAAGGCAGGAACACGGATTGATTAACAATAAAGACCGTTGAGTAAGAGGAACATCTATAGTTCTACTTGTTGCTTGCGAGTTTGCCTCTTTCCTTCACACAGAGACATGTTAACGAGTTCATAAACATGCATAGACATGCTCTTGCCGGTGGACTCGTGTCTGCGTCTCTGTGTGTGAAGGGAACAGAAAAGTTCAAAGGCAAGGTTCGGGGCACGAAAGTCTCTTGTCAATGGACTCGTGTTTCCATGAA